TTTTTTATATTTTATATATATATATATATGTTCAATTTGCTCGATATTTATAATTTAAAATCTCCCTATCTATTAATTTTTATATTTCATATATACTTCATAATATTTGTAGTAACTTAAAATCTTATTTATAATTTTTATAAATTATATATTATTATTTATTATTTCTGTTTCTTGCAATTAATTTCAAAGGATATTCATGTCCAAGTTTTCACTATCCATTAGAAAAAATGATAAACTACGTTATTTCAATTATACCCAAGAAATATATCCTTTTCAAGGAACTCCTATTATATAGCTGATTCATTCTTATCGCACACAGAAAACACATAGAGAATTTTTATGTACCTACCCTTACTTCTTTTTCTCTTTCTGTTCATTATATTACTGCAAGATCATTACGATATTTTTGAGATTTAATCACAATTCCGAGACTAATCCTTAACTAGAGAAAGGTAACAGTTTGTTATATCTTTCAATAACAAACGTCGCGATTTCTTTTTATCGAGATCCTATTACGTCATACCCCAGTCAATTAAATTTTTGCTCCGATTCGGCGCGGCAGCGATTGTTAATGCAGCATTAACAAGTGTCGACGTTACAAATATTACTCGCGTCAAGTGATTGATGTTCCTCACGTCGCGTCTCATTCAGCCTCGTCAGGTATTCCTGACGCACGTGACGAATCGCACGCGCGTCCGAGTGCTAAGCCATGTGCGACTTCTTTGCGTAAACAAACAGCGATTGCATCAGGGAATAGAAGGCTTCCATAAGAGATTACGCGGACGAATAAGCAGTTGCGCCGATCAGAAAACTGAGAAAGAAAAAAAAAAAGTGAGAAAATGCTGAAAATCAAACACGTGGTTTTTCCAACGACTTTCGTAACGGGAAAGATCGCAGCACTAGGTTCGAGGCTTATGAGCACGCGCGTGGGGCGGGAGAGAGAGGGTGCCACCGACGATGATGGTGGTGGTGGTGGTGGTGGTGGTGATGGTGGTAGTAGTGGTGGAAGGAGTCTATAAACAAAATGGTAGTTATCTATTGTTGCCAGAGGAACCCCCTCGGGTGGAAGCGTTTTCGTGGCGGACGATGCGTCCGACGTGACCGACGATCCGGGCGATCCTTTCTCATTATCCGGTCGTACATGTACGCGTGCGTATGTGCGTGTCTGGTAGCATCTGCGGGGCGACGAGGAGAGTCACGATCGTGACTCGCCGCGAGCTCGCGGAGGCATCGCGCGGGGAGCGAGATAAATCACAGGCAGACACGAATTATCCGGATGAGAGGGAAGAGGGAAACGCGCGGTTACTTACACGACGGCCTGGGGATCACCTCTCCTGTATCAGTACCATCGTCCGCACGGTCCCGTCTTGGATATCACGGCTCCTCTTTGACACAACACGCACGCGAATTCTCGATGCCGTAAGCCGCGCGTCAATCGTACGAGTACAAACGAGAGGTGGCGTTCCAGCTCAAATTCCAGATTGGGTCGCGACGACCGTGGCGCCGCCTGCCTGCGGCGTGCACGATACTAATTTTTGGCGTTTGTCACGTACGCCACCGCCGACGGTCAGTTGGCTACGCGCATTCAGGATGATCGTTGCAGAATTCCGCGGGGAAGGCGTAAAATTCGAGAGATGGAAAAATTTTTCACGCGACATTTGATATTCGAGAAGCGATTCGGACGACTTTGATTCGCTCGATCGAATCGATTCAGCCGACAGAGTTGCGCTCGCGAACGAAGTTTCTAGCCGTACACTTCGACGTTTCGTTGTCTTTTCTCTTCCGCATTCAAACGAAAACATATAATAATCACATTCGTGTTTATGAAAAAAATAATAAAAATATTTGAAAAGTTAATTAACTTTTTTCAAGGAAAAACCATATCCAACTTAACTATTTTTTAGCGTTAAACTACAATTACTACAAAAATGAGATCGGACATTGAAGTTCAAAATGGTGGATTTAACATGGCGGATGTGAAAATTAAAATA